TCCGGCTCAACCTCGCTTCTTTTCCGGCTGCAAGCCGTCACACGTCCTCATGGCTTGGCACCGGCACCGCATCGGCCCCACCCAAGAACATCTTGGGCACCACTGCTTCTCGCGATGTCGCGTGGCGAGCGTTGCCGATTGCCTGCAGCATCAAGCTGTGCCAGGATGCTACGACTGTCATTGAACAGGCTGCGATTTGAACTTTCTGAACGCAGTCATTGCTTGGCATGTTTTCAGTACTTGCCCTTGCAGGAGCTTGCAGGCACAGTGGACGAGCACAGCATGGGCCAGCAGATCACACAACCAAGCACCCTACGACCTGCACTGCTCAACCCTGGTGGATGCAATCCGAAGTTCCGGGACAGCTTCAGCAACATGCAGCGCTGCGGTCTCTTCATGAACTTACCTGACCGGGGCAGCTTCGAACTCTACTCTGTGTGGAAGGCACGACTCGCTGCGAGAAAACCCCGTGAGGCCTTGTCGAACCGAACATTAACACTGTTGCAAAAAGCAGTTTGGCGCCCTTGGTCTCCATCCCAGTCTCCGCTATCGTCTTCTTCTGTAGCAGGGGCTGGCATGTCTATTGTCCGTGACAAGGCTAGGCAGCCGATCGCATCCTGGCGTGGTGGGTATGCCGGAACACAAACTCCCAAGTGACCATAATAGCCGCCACGAAGCAATCTCACACACTCGGAACATCTGACCTCGGGATCGACCTGGCGCTCGCGGCACGACAGGCTCGCAGTCTCACCCGCATTCTCGAAGCCTCGTATCTTCAGATGCCGCTGGAAATCCCCAAAGTCCGCGGTTCGAAACACCCACGTCTCAATGCGCAATGCATTCTGGTCGGCAGTAACCACGGGATTCTTGATAAGGCACTCCGTCCAATCGGCCTTCGGATTCGAGACTTCCGAAAGGGTGGCTGGTGGCCGGGTTCGAACCGGCGGGTCTGCGACGACACCTCTGCTTGTCTTGTCAGCCTGGGTGCCTCCGGCACGTGGGATGCCGACCAATCGAGACGTGCATCTGGACACAAAGCCGAATGCGTGATCAGACACAAATTCAATAGCAAGGAAACTGCACAGGCGAAGTGGGCCCATAAGAATCCACAAAGAATGGAGCTTCCGCAGGCCTCGGATCAGCAGCACAGGCGGCTGTGCTGCTGCTATCAAGCCATTAACCAGAGCTTTTCATGCACAGAGAAGCTGCTACTGCCGGTAGTGCAACAAAAGCTGGCCTTGACTTCGCCGCTTCATCGGCGTGGATGGTGCAGCGCTGATGGCTCAACCGCTTTCATGCTAGTCCAAGTTATCAGCGTCAATCATGCATGCATCATGCGCAGTAGAAGGCTTGGTAAGCGTCTGATACTTGTCAGCCAGATGGCTGCAGCATTTGGCGAGTTCAGCTGGACACATGAGTGCCTGAATGTGGAGTCCTGCCTGCCTTAGCTGACAATTTCCGACGGCAACATGGCATCTCAGGTGAAACTTCGAAGCGGGCACCTCTATTCAATCGCCCTGCACTTGCCCACCACAACACTGCAAAGCTACTGTGCATTCTCCTCAAGAGCTGCACTGTCAACGTAGAGACTGTCATTCGAGGAGGACCTCGCAATGTGTCCGCTCGGGCATAAAGCGAAATCAAGCATCCACATTGAGCCTGGATGGCACTTCAGACACTTCTGTTGGCGTCGTACTCCGGCTGCTTAAATGTGTTGCCTGCACAACACGTCAAAAAGACTGGCCCTAAACCGCAAACCAGGCGCCTGCCTGTGTGGTAGTGCTCAAAGCATCTCGGGGACCAGTCCTGAGTCAGATAAAAGCGCATGACCAGCGACCAATGCTCATCGTCCCTGGGGCCCCATAGGCCCCATACCCTCTTGTCCGAGGCACAACCTCACACGGGCTCAATGCAACTTCCACGTAGCCCCAGGCGAGAAATAGCAAGACAAGTTGGCAGGGCTTTGCATGTTCCTGTAGCATACGACTTCGACAGTGGCTAGCAAATGAAGTGGCAAGCCCGAAGAGGGCACATTGCTCGTGCACAGCAGAGGCAAAACAACGAAATTCTTGTGTAGCACAACTGAAGCGAAAGCCTGAGTGCAGAAGCTGAGGCGTAGGCTCTGCCGGCACTCACCTAGTTAAACGAAGCAGACCAGCATCAAGAGAACACTGCCAACAGCAAGTGGGCACCCAACCTCTGTCCCGGGCTCCTCCGCCTGCCACCCATCGGAACTGCGAAATCTAATCAGGGTTGGAGGAAAGGGTTCAGTTACTAGTTCAGTTTGTGACATCAAACTGTCAGGCACTGTTCGCAGACGCAGCGCCGTTTGGAACTGGGGTAGACTGTCGAGAAACGTACTCATCTATCGACTTTCCTCTCTCGACTGCTAGAATGGCATGCAGTTCCGGCCAGCGGCCAGCAAGGGCAAAGGATCGCATGGAGTAGGCGGCCACGACTATTGTCTTTTTCCCAGCCGTGACTATTGTCTCTTGCAGATCCTCACGTGCTTCCAATGGATCGGAACACCGCCGTTTCGCTCAGCTATCCTTTGCATTGCACACAGCACTGCAGGATCGGCGCCGTTTTGAGTTGCGCTTTCTGAGCATGAAGAGACCTGCTGTTCCAAGTCCGCAGAGGAAAGTTGAATTTGTGCTGCGCACAGCTTCGTGCCCACAGGAAATGCCGCGTTCCCTGCAGAGGGGTTCGAGATCAACAGTGCTCCGAAGCCCAAGGTGTGGTCGCCTTCACTCTCTCTTTTTCTTTCGTGGCCCCACTCTTTCCTCCCCCCTCTCTCTCTCTCTCTCTCTCTCTCTCTCTCCCTCTCCCCTCGTTTGCTTTCGCAAGGCTTTCGGGTGCTTCTTCCGTCTCTCTCTCTCTCTCTCTACAGGGTGTGTCTTTCTTTCGCCAGGGCTATGATGTAAGGGCTTTACTCTCTCTCCCTCTCTCGCCCTTTCTCTCACTCTCTCTCTTTCAATCCGAGGGTAGAGATAAGGGGAATGACCACAACCGCAGCGCGTCAGCTCCCTTCTCTCTCGCTCGCCGGCTTGCTTCCTTGCTTCTTTCCTTCCTGCCTTCCTTCCTCGCTTGCTTGCACTGCATATGGTGCCCGAGGCTCTCTCTCCCTCGCCAGTCTTCCCACTATCTGATTTACGAACTAAATGGTTCTAGCGGTACACACTCTGCTCCCCAGTCAATGCCTACGACTTCTACACCGGCTTTGCACAAATCCTTAACAGCCTGCAGCTGCATGCCGTTTTCAAGCAACGTTGTGCTTGTACTCTGGCTACCGCTACTGACACACCATCCCTTGCTTTTGTTGAGCTTCAACAGGCTGGAACCGGCAGCACGCACAAGCTGGCATCCGTGCATTGCTTCGGAATTGGTAGGCTAGAGTGAGGCTAACCTACCAGGAGCGAAGCATGAACACAACACGCCGAACAAGTTGCTAAGTCTTTCCCCGTCGCTCCGTCTTTCCCTCCTGTCGACCATTCATTTCAAGTCGGTGTGCCCTCGAAGATTCTCGCCGACCAGGTCTTCGCTTCAAGGTGTCTCCTGAGCATCTCCAGCTTTTTACCGCCACGACGTCATGTTGGCAAAATTGACAACGTAATGTGCTGCCTCATGACAGCTTGGACATTCTAGGCACCGCACGGTCTGAGATGTCTTCAAAAAGGGCCGTGAGCAACTGCAAGGCGAGCCGGCATCAGTCCAAATCTTTCACCGCACATGCGCCCACAAACCCACACACACCCACACAAAGACACTTTGGCTCGGCACGAACTGATGCGAAGGAAGACAGACAGGATTACACGAAACAAAGACAGATTGCAGCAACTGTGCAGGCTTCGTTTCACGATTCGGCCCATGATACAAGCAATGCATTTGAGGTTATTTTGGGTTGGCCGCGCTTGCAGGTACGTGAAGAAGGCGTCCACTCTTCATATCACAGCAAATCTGGACGGTCTTTGTTGGCAGCGCAATCCAGAAATGCTCGCTGCCTCCCTGCCTGAAACTTCACGTCAGCACTGAGCTACTTAAGAACCCTTGCCTGAAACTTCACGTCAGCACTGAGCTACTCAGGAAAAAGGCTCAAGCGATCACCATGTTCAGGTGTGCACACACACACACGCCCTGAAAGGTCAGGGCTGCAGCATACCCTGGCAGGCATGAAAAAACAACTTGTGCAAATGCAGTTGCAGGTGTTGCAGGTATGAAAAACCCGCACGCCCTAAGAATCAAGTGAGCAACATTATCGAGACAGGCAGGATTTTCAGCCCACTGCATCTAAGGTTTCGTGTTGAGGTTGGGGCAAAGTGAAACATACTTGACATACTTGAAGTGACAAGGGCACCTAAGGCTGGCCCTTACCAAAGTTTTGACGCATGCTCTAGAGTGGCGTGCGACAGGAACATGAAACTGCATGGGATCTCCAGGCGTTCACTGGAAAGTGCGTCATCAGGCACAGAAGACGTGTTGGGTGATGCTCTGGTCCTCGATTTTCTGCCCTTCTTAGACTTCTTCTTGGATTTCGTTTTCTTCCTGGACTTTTTCCGAGAAGAAGACTTCACAGAACGCCGCTTGGAGGTGGCCTTGGGCGAGTCAAACGCAGAATGCCAGGAACTCGCATCATCCGGCAGATCGTCTGCCGGGGACTTGTTGTCCTGGCTGTCATTGATGAAAAATGCTAAGAGGCAGTGCAAAGCAAAATGGCTGCGGTGCTCAAGTCTTCAATCATGGAGATCGGGTTCTTTTGCGTGATGGAGACACCGGTGGGTCGTCTGGAAGTTCCAGAGGACGATCGCAACGGCACGCTTTCTGAGCCAAAGGCGCATTACCTCGAACCACTCCCACCACCAATGCTGGCCATCAGTGTGCCAGGCCCAACGCCAGGCATGCGGAATCGGAGATCGGCTCCTGGAGCGATCAGGCATGGTGTTAATGTCGGCTCCAACAAAAATGGCTGCGAGAAATCTCATGGCTAAAGCATGGAGAAACAATGTCAGGGCAAAGCACAGCAGGCGCGACAAGACTTTTTCATGTCATGGCCCAGAAGAATGCATCCCGTCTCACCGAGGAAGGGATGCTTCAAGCTGCTCGACTCGTTGCTGAAGATCACGTATCTCACGTGTTGTCATTTCGACGCAAGCAGAGAGCATGTCACGAAGCGGAAGAGTTGCGCAGTGAGCTGGGGGTGGAGGAGCCATGTGATGGTTGTTCTCCTTCTTCGCTAGGAGAATCGTCCCCAGTCAAGATCTCGAGCAAGGCTTGCGACAGCGCTCGACGAGTGGCGGGGCTGTCAGCGGGAGTCGGACCAGCTTCCGGTGCAGCAGAAGACATGATTGCTACCGTAAGCCAGACCAGGAAAAGACTATAATCCTGCTGCCAAGACATGTCAAGGCACAGCTGACTAAGGCAGAGCGCACGAAAGATCCTCTTTTTCCTGAGGGCGTCGGACTGCAGGTTTCAGATGAAGCAAAGGTATTGATGGGGAGACCTCTCTGCTCAGCGAGGTCCCAAAGGAATCGGAGGTCCATGAGGGCTTGTGTCCGAGGGTGTGAACACTTCTTGATGGTGTGGGCCCTGGCAAGTACTCCACTGAGCTGTACAGGCTCCGGAGATGCTGATTGGAGGCTAGGGAGATCTAAAGCCTGGATTGCACAAAATGCAGCGTTGCTGAAGATCCAGCGAGAAACCCGCAGGTTCGTCCTCAAGGACGATGTCACCTCCATAGAAGTGATTGTTCAAAAACAATCTGACTCCAGGTAACTGCTCGAACCTGCGTTCTGAAATCCAAAGTCTGTTGTCAACATAACGCAGGCTGATGAGGTTCCGGTTCATGCCGGAGCAAGTGATGCTGACAGTACGTCTACATATCTCTTCTTGTGAGGCTATGACCATACCACACAAAGCAGGCGACAACGGGGATCCCATGGGAGAGCCATGGGATTGAAGGAACCCACGGTTAGCAACGATGAAATGTTGCAAGGCAAGGGCATGTAGTATAATGGTGGGATATGGTGGACACGTCTTCGATCCAAATGCACAGCTGGCGGGATGCCCGGGTTCGACGCTTGCTGCGAAAAATTCGCAGCTGTTGGGCCTGTTCTTTCAAATCAACTGTGAACATGGTGTCCGGCTGGACACCATGCCTTTGCCTGTAGAACTCCAATGTGATGCGCCATGCCTGCAAAAACTGAGGCTTGGAGATGGAACTGAAAACCTGCGGCAGTGCCAAGCATGAGGAAAGGCAAGG